CTGGGAAATACTGACAGCTACATCTTTATCTGTTCTCACAGTACAATTTGGGGACTTATATCAGTCTTCAACATATGATCAGGATCCTTTTTCACCTCCTTGTCAGCTGGCTAATTTTCTGTATTACATACTAGATAGAAGTCCTGTCTTCTCTCTCTCTCCCTCTCTCTCGATAAATGTAGTACCAATATCCAAGGAATTTGATGATTCAGGTTATTACATACTTACAAAAGAAATAAATTTTGGTCTCATTCACGTATGCAGCAAAATTACATACTAAATGAAACAAATACGTAGGGCTTTTTTCTACTCAGTAATACAATTAGAAGTAGTGGTTTTATGGGAAGAAGTTGCCCTGGAGTCATTCTCTGAGAAGTTACTTTCTTTCAGTGGAGTCTCTCCAGATTTCCTGATGTTTGAATTTTGGTTTTAAATTAAAATACTTTGCTTTTCTTGACATTTGTGTTTTAATTTAAACTTTTTGTCTTTGAAGTATTTGTTTATAATGACCATACTCTAATACTATTATTTTAAAAGAAATACTTGCATGAAGCCTCAGTTTACCAGTTTAGGTCTATTAATCTCTGAAAGCATTTTCATTTGAAAAATTAGACTGTAGCTGTTCAGGAAAGGACCACCCAGGGTGAGGCACTAATGAAATTGTGTTATCACTAAGCAATATGATCTTTGTTTTGTCACTGTCAAAGAAAAGTTATTTTCCAGCATTTTTGTATATTTCTAATGTAGCTGCTTTCATAAATTTAAACAAAAAAATTAAACAAGATGCTCTTTAATAAGTTGAAAACTTCACTTCTTATCTCACAGGTAAGTAATAAAACTAAAATAAAACCTTCTAAAACATTGAAAATAGGCATCCAGTTTTAAAATCCCAACCTTGAACCTTAATATGTAATAAAGAGGTAATTTTCACACTGAATACTAAAATCGAGCCCCTTCTTACATATGTGTGCAGACTATATGTGGTACGTTTGTGAGTGGTTTGCACACCCTGGGAAGGCTGCAGAATTAGAAATGTACCATCTGTAGTTTAAGCAAAATTCATCAAAAGATAGGTCAGGTTTGGCCCTGTCTATTTAACTGCCCACTGCCTTGCACTGCCAATAGTCACACGTGTGGGAAAGTAACTGTAAAACTAAATAAATATAAATAACGATAAAATGTCATCAGATCAGAATTCGTTTATTCTCATGAACCATTTTATGCTCATTATCAGGAAATAACCTAGAGTTATTCCAAGTTGAAAAATATGGGCTGAATTCACCCATTTACATTGACCTATCTTGTTTCTGCGGTGCCACAGAGGAGCAATAAACTTGGCTTAATGACTGCTTAGTGTCATTCAAGTGACAGAAAGCAGCTGGAGTATTTCTGGTGGATACGGTCCAAAATACTTTAACATTTCTGTCTTTGATGAAGAGGATTCCATGTGTTCTTTGGAATGAGTTTTCCACCTAATAGAGCCAAGAACATGCTTTTGCTTTCCTCTTAAGCATTTTATATATCCACACTGCAAAAGCATGGAAACTAAAACTTGGGGGTTCATTAAAAGCAAGAGATTTACAGTTATTTAATTTTAAATAGTTCTTGTAGAAAGGTCAAATGTCAAAAGGTTCTTGTATTTTAAAATACTGCAACTTGTAAGCTTAAAAATGCACCCCGCAGGGCAAAGCTTGCATACCAGAAGTTCAAGTTGCTTAGCTCACTGTTAAACAACAGGTTTGTCTGGTTAACAAAAGGAACTCTGAACTGCATCGGAAGGGGTAATTTTTGTGTCTCTATAATAAGAAAATGGCCTGTTTCAGAAAGAATAGGAGCAATACAGTATCAGGATGAAATGATACTTAGGCATCCTACATATCCCGACAAGGTAAATTTATCTGTCCTGCCTTACGTAGCTCATGTCCTACGAGTGCAGCTGATACTGCCATCCTCAGGACCTGCAGGATCTCTTGTAGGCTGATTAGCCTTCCCAAATCCCAGGCATAGAAGGACTGCAGATGAAATAATTGACATCTGTGTGAATTATAGGAACAGGAAGGACCACTAGATTGGCTTCAGTCATATTTCCAGATACATCCAAAAAGCAGCAGGCCTATTCCCAGGATGCGAACGATGGTTGCAATTGACCCTTTGGCAAAGCTCATGAATTCAGCTTTATTTTAGTTCAACGGGATCTTATGGAATATTGCTTGCTGGTGCTACGATAGATACTATTAATGTATTTCTCTCCACAGTTCCTCCAACTGTTGTTGGTACTAATCCTGAGAATTTGACTGTGGTGGTGAATAATTTCATCTCTCTGACTTGCGAGGTCACTGGCTTTCCGCCTCCTGATCTCAGCTGGCTCAAGAATGGAAAACCTATCAGTTTGAATACCAACACTTTTATTGTACCTGGTGAGGAATTTCAGCTATTTCTACAGCCTTCAGATCCAATTTCTGTTTTCTATTGATAAGGACGATGGCCATTATTTATGGAGCCAGTATATTATTAGTTTTGCCCCAGTGAGTCGACAAGACACTTGGCCTACTGTGTTTAATAATTTTTTGGCTATTGGGTGGGTTCACTTTTAAAGAAAACTGGCTGAGTCTGAAAGCACTGAAATAAACTGCGTGGAAAAGACTAAGAAGGCAAGTCACATAACAGATGTGCTCTGATACAGTTCTTTAGTTGAGTCACTTTGATGCACCATTCAAAGAAATGATCAGAAATTGTCATGGAGGCTAATATAAATTCTGCTGGCTTTGATGACAAAAATAAAAACCTTCCCTGACTTCAGTGAGAAGCTGGATTGACCCTGCTAAAGAAATCCCTGTATTCTGAAGTCTCCTCAACCATTCCAAGCTCCTCACTAAGTAAGGTCCCTGAGCATCTCTGTCATTTCTGCTCCTGCTGCTTATCCTCAGCCCAGGGTACCAAGATCACTTGCTGTGTTGCTCAGTCCTGTCTTGCCAGTATAATGTGGCTGGGGGCTGTGTTACAGCACAGACGAAGGCACAGGCGTGAAAGCTGCTTAGCGGCAGGAGAGGCATCTGTCCAGGTTAGTAACGTAGGCACAGGCAGTAAGTAGCTGGGTGGAGACAGGTGGAACTGGGGAATAAAGCATGGGATAGTGACAGAGTTAAGTGGAGAGGGCATAGCTGTGTTAGGGCACAGCAGTTAGCAGCTACAAAAGAAATAGGTCTAACAGGTTGCCCAGAGAAGCTGTGGATGCCCCATCCCTGGAAGTGTTCAAGGCCAGGCTGGATGAGGCTTTGAGCAACCTGGTCTAGTGGAAGGTGTCCCTGCCCATGGCAGGGGGGTTGGAACCAGATGGTCTTTCAGGTCCTTTCCAACCCAAACCATTCTGTGATTCTATGTAAAGGAGTATTTGTGGCCCAAACTTATAATTAACAGCACTAATTAAATTTACCCTAAGATTTTTAGTTCTCTTGGCTGGTTGTTTTTTCAAAAAGCAATGGCAAGGCAGTGTTATTTTGAATACGAGGTTAATTTAGTGTCTCTGCTCAGTCTGTTGGACCTGCAATTTTAAAATAGCATTTCAGATTGATACAATCACCTCAGAATAAATCTCAAGCCTTCTCTCTCTACTTCAGGTGCTCGGACTCTGCAGATCCCCCGAGCCAAACTACCAGATGATGGTGAATATACTTGTATTGCCAGAAACCAAGCTGGGGAAAGTCAGAAGAAGAGTTTTCTAACTGTCCTTGGTTTGTTTTTCATAATTTTCTGAAACAACATGTGTTGCTTTGAAAATGCAGCATTTCATGTTTATTTTTATTAGGGTGTTTTCTGCCCTCTCACAAAACAAAGGCAGAAATAACTCTGAGCTTCTTCCACAGTGCCCCCAAGCATCAAAGACCACAGTGGAAGTTCACTGACAGTGCTGAACGTGAGAGTGGGCACCCCAGTGATCTTAGAGTGCGAATCCAACGCTATTCCACCACCAGTCATCACCTGGTACAAGAACAGGCGCATAATTTCAGAGTCTGCAAATGTGGAGATCTTGGCAGAAGGGCAAACGTTACGAATCAAGGGTGCAGAGGTAGGGCAGGCATGTGAGATGCTGCCTCTGCTACTGCTAAGCAATTTTTTTCTCTCTATGGGTGTATTCTGTTAGCTGTAGCTAACAGCTGTATTTGCTAGAGGCCTTTCATTCTGTGAAAAGGACCTTGAGTTTGCAGAGGAAAAGGCTGTGAATATCTCTCGAGTGCAGCATTAAAATAAGACTTTGTAATTAGTTTATTGTAATTTATTTTTATTTTAGGTTTCTGACACGGGCCAATATGTCTGCAAAGCCATAAACATTGCAGGGCGAGATGATAAAAATTTCCATCTTAATGTTTATGGTGAGCATACTCTGCATATATTATCTGCAGTAGTTATTATAATGCCATGGAGGTAGACAATTCAGAATCAGTTTACAAAAATATTTGGTAACAAAACCATTCTTATTGCTTCTATTCAATTTATAGTGCCACCACATATAGAAGGCCCCGAACAAGAGTCGGTCAATGAAACTATCAGTAATCCTGTTACCTTTGTGTGTGACGCTACTGGAATTCCTCCACCAACATTAGTGTGGCTTAAAAATGGAAAACCAATAGGTAACCTTCCCTCACGCTCTTTTCCGCTCTTTTTTTCCCCCTTTGGGGCACCACCCTGCTATTGGCTGTCAAATTTTTGTTTCTTCTTCATCTGTCTCTAGACAGACTTATGTTAATTGATTGGAATCCTTGTTTTGTTTTGAAATTTTCATGAGAAGCATTCTTGAAATGCGTTTGCTCTCTCTGGCCTGGTTTGGAATGACTGTGTTTTTACATATTTTCAGAAAACTCCGGTTCTCTTGAAATTCATATTTTATCTGGTGGAAGCAAGCTTCAGATTGCTCGCTCTCAGCTTCTAGATAGTGGGACCTACACCTGTATTGCCTCAAATACAGAGGGAAAAGCCCAGAAAAGTTATGTGCTTTCTATCCAAGGTAAGGCATGAGAGTGCAGTGAGCAGAACTGCTTAATAATGGGTTGAATATGATGCTGTGTCTGTTCTAGACACACTCAGATAACATAAACACGTAGAAAAGTGGAGAATTCAGACCGTTAGTTCTGTCATCTGTGAAAAATGGTTAGAGGATTTTTCCATTAGGCAGAAATTTGCATGAAAAAGAATATCCTTAATCTCTGATCATCGGAGAACTTGAAAGCAAACGGGAAGGCTGTGTGTGTTTGCTGCTGATCACATCCTTCCTCCTGCGGAACACTTCAGCTATGTTGGTCGAGCGTGGAGCATCACACATACGGGGTTTCGGCAGCGGTGTACCTGTTGCTGTTTTCATCATAGCACGTAGAGGGAGATAGCAAAGAAATACTGGCAGAAATGAAATTATGAAATTCCCCCCGTCCTGCCCAAATAAGAAACACTCATTTGTCATGGGCTTGTTTCCTGCCTCTCTGCACATCACCCTTACACTGTATCCACCTTTGTTTTCCTCTGTTCCGAGTGACTCATGCCCATTAACTGCACTGGTTCCCTCCCGTGTCCCCTAAGGTGCTCGCGTTCCAGATCTCCAGCTTTCTGCCATGCTGCCTTCCCATGCTGGCACTTACTGCTTAAGTTACTGTCACAGCATGAGCTGTGACGTCAAATGTGAAATTGCTTGAAGTGCTCAAAACTTAGTAGTGGAACTGACAGCTGTGACTTAATGGGTAGCATGAGTGTCATCCTTGTTCTTCAGGAGAACAGGCCAGAAAAGGCTGCTGGGGAGGACAGAGTAAGCGTGCGGCTGTTAACAGGAATATGCTGGCCTGGGTGCACTACAGCATTTGACTGTGCACTGAGCACATGCTCGAGAGTGAAAGAGGCTTTAATTGTTATTGTGCACTGTGATGCTTAATGAAATGGGCCTTTGTCGTAATATTACTGCACATTGTTTGAGCAGATAACTGTAGATGTTAAATATGATGGCAAAGGTACTTGTGTTCTAAAATTTTGTAAATTAGCTGTTTTAAGGAATACTTAAAGCGGCTTTGAATTTATCTTTGCAGAATCCCATCTAGAAACAAAATAATCATGTACTCTGTAAACTAAGTTTGAATGGACATACTACAATAAACCCTAGTGCTCACGAGCTACTGCAGTGTAACTTCTCGTAGTTGAGATTCTGCCTCTTGCTGATGCATCTTCTCTTCCTTCCGTCACGCATGTCCAGTTCCTCCTAGTATTGTTGGCTCTGAAATGCCTAGTGAGGTCAGCGTCCTCCTGGGAGAAAGCATCCAGCTCGTCTGCAATGCCAATGGAGTGCCCACGCCTGTTATGCAGTGGCTTAGAGATGGAAAAACAGTTGCCAGTGACGATTTGCAAAGAACAAGGCAAGCAAAAATAAGCAGACACTGCATACTCTTCTTGCATAATTTTAAGCCTCAGAGGGCCCTAACAAGGGAGCATAAGAGAGCCCTAAGGGAGGGAGTGTGCGGAGGGCCTGAGTCTTAACTTAGCCAGGTTAAGAACATCATCTCCCTCTTTAGCATCTATAAATCTAGTATACTTTGTTACTTCAACTTCCACCCCCCCAGAGATAAGTGTATGATATCTATGTCTTTCTCAGTTAATAAGTTCCATTAATGTTTATCAGGTTCATTAAAGTTTATTAAGGCAAATAAGTTCCATTGAATTCCTTTGGAGGGGAAAAATCTGAGACATGGAAACATTTTACTCTTGACACTTTGCATTACGGGTTCTCCAAAAGCCTGGTTGGAATTGAATCCTAATACAAGGTAAACCAGGACATCTCTAGGGAAAACTTCCCAGCCTATCTCTAATGATAATATTTTGCAAGAAACAATGGTTCTGTAGATGAATTCCTGGGAGGATAGAGGGAGTTGTTTTAAATGTACCAAACTGACTGTTTATTTGCCAGGTCACAGGAGTACATAAACAAACTCGCTGTGTTTTATGACCTTCCTTGCAGAGTAACTCCAGATGGCAGCACATTAAACATTTTCAGAGCTCTCAGTTCTGATACAGGAAAATACACTTGTGTGGCTACTAATCCTGCAGGAGAGGAAGACCGAATTTTCAACTTGAATGTATATGGTGAGTTTTCACAGATGTGAAACTGAAATCTGGTCCATAAGCCCATCTTTGTAAGCCCTCCCAAGAGGGCCAGGAAATGAGTGCCTGGCTTCAGGGTAATACTGTGTGCGTGTGTTTCCAATTTCATGTACTGTAGATATCGCGGTATATTACGCAGGAAGTTTCCATCAGTGATGAAACGGATGAAATTGGGATAAACAGAAATTAATTCCTTTTGTGGATTTCATAATAGAGGAATTCTGCTTGTGATGATTTTTTCTTGCAGAGAAAGATACGCTTGGGGCTGATTTACTACGATACTGTTTTTTTGTTGTATTAATTTATCTTCCCTAATTCCAATCAAAGTACGTCAGCTAAAACCAGGGTAGTATGGTAGGGAAATAAGAGTTAAAGGTCCCTAGAGTTTAAAAGACACATGGTAGAGTTTGGGATGAAATTATTCTCCGGTACAGTTTGACGTACAGAAGATAGTGAGCGTAACTCTTCTTTAGCAGTGTGGAGAGCGGACGTTCTAGTTTTTGAAGAGTGTGTTCATGCAGTGCAGTGCCCAGTGTGCAAGAGTGACGAGTTCCGCAGAGGCAGCGTTTCACAGTGGTGTGTCTGTCCCAGCTGCACAGAGACTCAGAATCCATTGGAATATGATCATGAGCAGCATAACGAGAGATCACCTTTCATATAAACAATAACATAGTGAATGACCACATCAGATCTTTTTGGGACAGAATAGCACTACACAAGAGTGGAGACGTTTTTGGTCAATTTGTGTGGGTTGAGGTTCAAGCAGTAACCAACTTACCTACACAACAATTGTGGTGTGTGATGAGACCTTAAGTCAGCCACATAAAACCAAGACACTAACATATAAAACCAAAAAGCAGTTCTGTTAGAATGATCAGCCACAACACTTAAACAGGCATTTTGAAATTGAGTGTATTTAATAATTAAGTCAGCATATACACCTGGAGGTTAATTAACTTTCCTCTTACATGATTCCAGCTTTCACTTTCTTTAGTATTTATTTAAGTAGGTAGGTTTCAGTGGCAGCAAAGTCCCATCTGGCCCTTAAGTGCTTCAGCTTGACCCCTCTAAGGCTTGACCACTTGCTCCTTCCTGCACTGTCATTCTCTCCCCATGAGCCTCAGTCTCTGAGCTCCCTCATTGGCCACAGCCTGACAAATCAGAGATCATTCTGCTACCATTCTAAAGTCCATCTGATTTTTAAATATCTAAATGGATATTTATTAATGCTCAATATTATTGTTAGAGGATTTACTGTTCAAAATAAATGGGAAACTTCTCATGGAATTGCTGACGGAGTGTGAGGTGCAGGATTTCCTGCAAGGTAACACATGGAATGATTGCAAGAGCCAGTTTTAATATCTTCCTTTTCAACATGTACAAAATGTAGTTCCTCCAACTATAACCGACAGTAAAGATGAACCAGAGGACCTGACTGCACTTGTGGAAACCTCCCTAAACATTGAATGTACCGCTACGGGAACCCCTCCACCACAGATAAACTGGCTAAAGAACGGCCTTCCTCTCTCTGTCTCCTCCCAGATCAGGTTGCTGTCTGCTGGGCACATTCTCAGGTTGGTTTTCATCTGTTTTAACTAGCTGAGTTTTCTGTTCTCTTTTGCTATAGCAGCATAATCCTGCGAGTATTTTTGTAAGCAAGAAAAATATATGATCCAAAGCATGCCATAATAAGGGTAATGCATTCCATTTACAGCTTGCTTAAAATGATTCTCTCTTTAGACTTGCCCGAGTGCAGATATCTGATACTGGTGTGTACACTTGTGTAGCATCTAACAGGGCCGGAGTGGACAACAAACAGTACAACCTTCGAGTTTTTGGTAAGTTTCTCGGAAACGCTGTATGTAAAGAATCTTAATTTCTTAAACCTAGTAATCATTAGGGAAATATGAATGTTTCAATGTAGGGGTTTTTAGTGAAAGTGTTTTAACCCTAGAAGAGTCTTTACTTGACTTGGCACCCGCAATGCATCTCAGATTTTTTAGAAAGAATAATAGTATATCATTTCTAAGTGAATTTTAACGCACGTGCTAAACATGAAAAGTGAGGAAATTTGAAAGGGTAGCTGCATTCAAACTTCCTTCTATTCAGAATTAATATGTGGCTCTGTATGAATCAGATCTTTGTTTCTCGGCAGTACCACCCAGCTTGGATAACGCAGGAGGAACGGAGGATCTGACTGTAGTAAAAGGCAGTTCAGCTTTGATGAAGTGTCTTACTGATGGCACTCCTGCCCCCACCATGTCCTGGTTTAAAAATGGACATCGTTTGAGCCTCGGACCTCACCTGACATCAAGTAACCAAGGAATGGTCCTTCATTTCGTAACAGCAGAGACTGGTGACACAGGCAAATATACTTGTGTTGCATCCAGCGAAGCTGGAGATGCCAGCAAGCACTTTTCCC